TAAAAAATTCATAACCCAGTCAAGATCCAACGAAACTACGTCAGAATATCAAGATGTACTCTATTTTATCTGCTCTATATATTTTGTTACTTGAGAGTAGCAGAAAACATTCTTGTAGTTCGGAAAATTTCTAGAAAAGCTTTTCAAAAACCAAAGTATTTAGACCGACTTGTACAGCTTTTATTGAGCTGCATCGATCGCATCAAGCAGATAAAATAGAGCACATCTTGATATTCTGACGTAGTTTCGTTGGATCTTGACTGGGTTATGAATTTTTTAACTTTATTGCAAAAATAGGTTATTTCATCTAATGTATGTTTACACTTTTTGAAAAAAAAATGTTACCACGAGATTCAGCGTGATCGATTACCTATGTTTCCATTTATTTTCGGAATTACCACATCTAAAGAAATATTGATCCTGAGACTCTCGGGCAATCCGATGCCACGCCTCAACCACGAAAAACTAGTTCGCCTAGTTTCTGTTCTGCAGAAGACACTTTGAACTATCTACCTATGAAGAAAGATCGACCTATTTCTATGTGAGTTCTCGGGGATCCAAACTAGTTTTTCAAAGATCTGCTCAAAAACCGGTTCAAAATATTTGTAAAAAATCATTTTTGCTTGTGGAAATCTAGTCTCAGATGTCTACTTTCGATTACTGCGAACTGCAAGTTTCTAGCTTTCTTCTGGCAAAAGTTATTCAGGAAACAACAATCTGCATTGTATTTTGTAGCCGATAATAATTACGTTTTCATTGGTTATCCAATTAGCTGATTGACCTATTTCTATGTGAGTTCTCAGGAATCCAAACTGGTTTCTCAAAGATCTGCTTTGAAAATCCTAGCGGATTTTCCAGATTATAAAAAATCGAATTTCCAAGAATGTGAAAAATCGACATGGCTTTTCTAGATTGTTGGGAATTATTCATAGAAAAACTCGGTTCGATTTTCCAACTTTCTTGAAAATCGAGCAGGATTTTCTAAACTGTTGGAGGTTTGATTTTTTAGAATCTAGAAAATCCTCAGATATTTTATATTTGGACTTTTCGAAAATCTACTGTGGAAGATTCTACTATTATGTGGAACGGCCACATCTTCTATACATATATATATTTATATATAAACACATCTTATTTATTAGACGCAGACGAGTGAACATTCATTTTATTCATCTGAAGACGTACATAGCCATTGTTATATATACACGCATTATCCCCCTTATTTCAGCCTTCGTGCAGCGACAACCATTTCATATGAATTATTCGCCCATGTCAGATATCGAAAATACTGAGCAGTCGATGCTTCCACCATCAATAATAACATACAACTGATTCGTTCAATCACAATTCCGTTGCGTCGTATTGACCTACCAACATCGTCGACCTATTCGTCCAGATCGGCTCAGCGTGTATTAAGGTTTTTATACATCTTCCAAAATAAACGTTTTCCCTAAAAATCAACTCTAGGGAAGCTATTTCCGCTAAATTCGATTTTGACATTGGTTTTTAATAATAACCGTAAAAGAGGTACTAGCTTTCTGTTATAAAGTCAGATATTTTTGGATGATACTGATTCAGCATTGTACGTCGTATTGTTTGTTGTCTGTTTTTTTCTTTGTTTGAATAACGCGTTTGTGTTAATTTGGATATTACTGACAATTGGACTGCTCGTAAATCAACGTGCCCAAACGATGTAGAAAAATTTCAGTCTTAACTGCTCGTTATATGGATCGTCGTTATTCAAATGTTAAAGACCATGAACGTATTCAGTTCAGAGAAAATGATTAAGTGCATCTTAATTGTATTACATTTGACAAAGAATATGATAAAAATATTTATTTACATCCAAACAAACGAATAAAATTACCCGTACAATATTTAGCTGATGGTGTTATTGATGTTTTAAGAACAAGTTTACCAATAACAACTGTGTTCAGTACTCCACCTCGACGGTTACAACAAAGATCAAATTCAGGAGTTAAGGAATTACCATTAATCCCAAAAAACCAAACTCATTAATATTAACAATACGTGTGTTGTTTGAAAAATTAGCATCAGCATTAAACGTATATACTACAGCAAAATGCACATTTAAACAGACGTTTTCTGGAAAAGCCCAGAGCAACTCTGCATTGTTACAATACCAATAAAAGATGCAACTGAGATCTAGTTTCGATCGGTCTTTGCAATCTCGATCTAACATTTTCACGTTGGTTGTGGTGTCAGTTTCGTGGCTGTTCACCGGTTACTTCTCTTGGAATGATTTTCACTACCTGTGCACGCACGCTCATTTTTGGGATCCTGGACATTCAGACAGGAGAATAATAAACAGAATTGTTCACTTGTATTAATAAAAAGTTCTGCCAGAAATTTCGTAATTTTCATTCGTACAAAAGGGTTTAAAATATGTCAATTGTCTTTATTCATAAGAACAGTGTCCTTGTCGCAATGGAATGGCGCATGTATAATTGATTTTTTAAACACGCAAAAAGAATTAATCCGTAATGAATACATGTGTGTTCGACATATTAAATTACTTTTTGTTCTACTTTTTTCTGGTTTCATAATTAAAAAATATAGATACCTCAAACGTCCGTGTGTGTCTATATTCATTCATTGATCTATTATTGTGGTGGTAGGAGAATGATGCTTTGGTGCATGTAAGTATTTTTTATGCTTTCGCTGAGCATATATATTGTTGATAATGATATTTAGAATATTAAACGTTGCAAATATCATATTAGATATGTATAGTCATATATGCTAGTTTTCACTGTTGAATGTTTTCAGCTTTAGCACAACAACAACCACCAGTTGAATCACAATGTAATCCAACTATCTGTAATAAAAATCCTATTGGATGCTCACTGAATACAGATTGTGAATGTTTACAATTAACCAATGGTCGTGGTGGAATGTGTGCTGATGCTTTAATGCAGTGTTCTGTTCTTAAACCATGTAAAAATGATAATGTCACATGTTCAGATCCAGATACCATCTGTATTCAAAATAGTCGTTGTAATAATCAACAACCGTTATGTTATCCAGTGGCATTAGCCAGTCCTGAAGTTTGTCCTCCAAGTAAGTTCAGTTTGTCTAATCATCAGTTTGATTTGATTGGCTCTTCAGTGTGAGAAAGTAAGATGTCTTTGCCAAAACTCGTAGAACTTCTAAATGATGATATCTCTCTGCGTTTTCGAATATTTCTTAACAACTAGTTGTGATAGCAAATATCATCAACGCTGACGACCACTGCTGTCTAAAGAGAGCAAAAGAACGGTGCACACGCATATCTCTTCTTCGTAAGACAAAGCTTGCTGGTTCTAGCGACAGAAACTCATTTTCTATCAAAATCAGTGAGTCATATTCACATCCTGATGAGGTCGTTGCCAGCGATGCCTATCCCACCTGAATGTTTGACGTCTTTTGTACCACCTCGGAGATTCGATCTTTTAGTGTACCACATGAAAAATGAATTTATGCTAAATTCATTTTTCAGGTGAAAAGTCAAGTCGATTTTTATATCTAGCATGGAAAGATTATATACGATCAAGAGCAACAATCGCTAAGCGAACACAAATCTTGTGATCGAATAGAGACGATCTGTGTTCGATCACAAAAATATGCAGAAAGAACTGAATAAAGTTGAGGTTAATATTCTACTGAAACTTTTCTCTCGCACTCCTGCCTAACCCCCTTCACAGAAAAGTAAGTATTCTAAGTCTTTGCAAATATCAAAATTTCTTTTTATGTGGCACTGATAAGCCTTTCCAAGCGATAGATCACATCACATTCTACAGTGATGCTACTGAGTAAGACCTTTTAATACCAGCTTTACTCTTGTGTTCAAGTTGGATTCTTCCGGTATTACCACGTACACCGTCAGCTGCAGTAAGATCAAAGCGTTTTACTTCTGAAATCTTCAAACAAGAAGCGAGTTCTTCGCAGCTGAAATCCTATCTCAGAAACTCACGTTAAATGTCCGTCTTTTTCTTGTTTTCTACCATCTCGTTAGTGTAAATCAATTGACATTTTAGCACCACCAGTGACTACCATCACACCAACAATTTCTCCAACTCAAGGTGAGCGCAATAAAGCTTGCTTCTCTTCAAAATATACAAGAGTTTGTTGTTAAGTCATAAATCTGCAGACCATACCCTACATTTAAGCTGCTGAAATTTTCTTTTGCTTCCTTTTACTTCGTAGATTGTGCCGGTTCCAATTTGATTACATTTGAAGATGTCTATGTTGGAGATGTAGGTGAAATACCCAATGGTTATTCGGGTTTGAATTGGAATAATATATATGCATCATCTGAACATCCAAAAAATTATGATACAAGTGGTTATCCAACTGCACTGACCAGTGGAGAATTTCTTACATTAAATGGAAATGGACAACCGATAACAATAACTATAAATCCACCGAATGTCTTTGATATTCATTCATTTGTAGCATCAGCTGCTTGGAATGATAATTTAACATTAACAATAATTGGTCAGCGTTTACCTTCAACAATCTATAGAAAAATGATTACACTTCGAATGTATACATCAACACTGGTCGTATTAAATTGGTTGAATATTGAAAAATTGATATTATCAACGTCGGGTGGAACACCAGTATTTGAACGAAATGCCACGCATTTCGCAATGGATAATTTATGTGTCAAGTATAGTTTCTAAAATTAATTTAATCGAGTTTTATTCTTTCAATGGCCTTCAAACTTTCAGCATTGTTGCGCCGACGATGACTAGCACTACTACTACTATTACCACTCCAAGTATGTATTTAAACACCTTCTTTCTTCTTCCTTTGCATTCGTCTAGGTAGAAAATAATTTACGCCACGAACCTCGAAAGCTCTCAGTATTTTGTCCCCAGTGAAACATCATTTTCATTCAAAGCTAACATCGAATTCTTTTTCCGCATTAAAAATTGAGGCAATGCATGTATATTTAAAGATTATAAGCATGTACTCGATTGTGCGGTGAGTTCATATGTTGTGAGAAGTCTAGTGAAAAGGATTTTAAGCCGTTGAGCGAGAGAAATTGTTTTGACTTTTATCGATGATATTTTCAGCTTCGATGGTTCATATGTGCTCACTTAATCTTCTGATTGATGTTTTAGTATCATCAGTCACTACCACCTTGACGACACCAATAATGACAACAGTATTTCCATCAGAA